ATATATGAAGTGGTTTGTTATTTGAATTAATCAAGAGCATGTGATTTTGATGTAAGGGCAGATATTTAGATCAATGGAACAGAATAGAGAATGTAGACATAGATCCACATGGTCAGATGATATTTGACAAAAGTATTACCAACATCTTTTTTTTTTTTAAGGTTTAAAGAGTGTTTTTGAGCCAAGGACTAAGGACCTGGCCCAAAAGCAAAATCTCAGAGGACCAACACATGAAATAATATAGATAATTTCACACGACCTGCCCAGGCAGGAATTAATGATCCGTGTGGTTACTTTCAGTCATTGAGCTTGCCCCGTTTGCCGCACAGCCCCCCTTTTGTTCACATACCACTGAAGAGAGATTTACTCGCCTCTGGTCAGGCCATAAGTGGCAGAGACCTGATTGGAAACTCAGATTTGTCTAGTTTAGTGCTGCTTTCTACCGGTTACTTTACTGAATCTTGTGTCCAGTGGATAGGCATCAGGCCTATCCAACCTGCACAATTTCTGTTTGCAGAGGTTTGCGACCACTCCCCACCCTCAGGCCACCTTGGGGACAGCCCCTAAAACCACCGTGGTCAGCCTTATCATTGGTCAGTGCCCGCAGACCTGACCTTGGCCCCTCGGAACAGCAGATGCCCGAGAGACCACAGTAGGCTTCGTTTGCCAACAGATCTACATAGGAAAAGGACAATCTTTTCATCAGATGGTGCTGGAAAAGTTGGAGCTTCGGATTTAAAAAATGAAACCTGATCTTTATCTCATCCCATATACAAAAATCAATTCAAAATACAAGACTTAAAAGTAAGCATTAAAACTATATAATTTTTAGGAAAAAATATTTATTACATTGACTTAGGCAATACTTCTCAACTTTGGCACTGTTGACATTTTGGACTGGATAATTTTTTGTTGGGGTGTGTATGTGTGTGTGTGGGGGGGTGCTGTCTCATGCCTTTTAGGATATTTAACAGCATTCCTGGCCCCACTAGATGGTAGTAGCATTTTCTCAGTTGTACCAATCAACGGACATTATGAAATGTCCCTTGGTATGTGTGTGTATGTGGCGGGGGGGGGGGTCACTCCAGGTTGAACATTACTGGATTAAGCAAATATTTCTTAGGATGCAAAATGTATGAGCCATAAAAGAAAAAGTGATCAATTAGACAATAAAGATTTAATTAGACAATAAAAATCTTCTGCTCCTTGAAATACACTACTAGGAAAATGAAAAGGCAAGCCACAGACTGGGAGAAAATATTTGTAAAATGTATACTTGATAAATAATTTGTGTCTAGACTATATAAATAACTCATAAATAAAAATGAGAAGGCAACCCACATTAAAAATGAACAAAAGATGTGAATGGAAGACGAAAAACTGGCACATGAGAAGATGTTCAACATCATTAGGGAAATGCAAATAAAAACAACAATGAGATACCACTTCTCCTTTAAGACGGATAATAACAAGTGCTGGCTAGAAGGTGGGACAGTTGGAACTCACATATACTGCTGGTGGGAATATAAAATGAATAGTATTGTCACTTTGAAAAAACAGTTTGGCAGTATAAAATTACACACGTACCAACTATTTGACCCAACTATCCCACTGTTAAATATTTACTAAAAAAAATGAATGGAAAACAAATTGTGGCATACCTATACAAAGAAATACTACTCAGTAGTAAAAAGAACATACTATGGATACACACAGCGACATGGGTAGACCTTAAAAAGCATTATGCTAAGTAAAAGAATCGAGATACAAAAACTACATACAGTATGATTCCACTTCATGGAATTCTAGAAAAGGCAAGAGTATATAATAGAAAGCAGATTTTTTTTAATTTTGTCTGGGATCGGGTATGGGAGGAGGAAAGGCCTGACTAAAAAAGGGACATGAAAGAACTTTTTCTATGGAAATGTTCTGTAACTTATTGTGGTGATGAACTGTACACTTAAATGGACACATTTTATTGCATATAGGTGATTCCTCATGACAGTTGATTCAAAAGAAAATGGGTGGGAGATTGCCTGGTGTTGAGGCTTTCAGTATCCAGTGTTTAGGGAAGGGCTTGACACACATTTTCAAGACATGAAGACCATGTGGAGACATTGAGGCGATACCTACCACCAGGGCTCCTGCTTTCAGTCCAGGATCAAATGGAACGCGAAAGCTCTTGGGGAGATTTGAATTCTGTAGGTTTTCAAGCTTTTGCTTAAGCTGTGAAATAACTGTAATTGTCAAAAGCACACAAGAGTTATATGAGCTCAAGAAATTACCAATATTACCTGTAACATTTCCTGAAACCATCTGGTCTGGTGTGGAGGAGGAGAAAAGGGTGTCTGTCTTTGAGGAACTAACCATTTCAGGTGGCAAGGTAAGTCAGGTTTACTGGGAGCAATACACTCATTTACACCTACCACAACAGGGGGTAGAAACAGGGGAGCAGGACTGGAATATCAAGACAATCAGGTAGAGAGGATGTTTTAAGGATAATGCTAAGGAATTGATACTGTGGTTTTCTTTCTAACATGTGAAACCGTAAACTGCCATCTGATTTGGGGAACAGACGTTTGAAGAGCATATTAAATAGAATTTGGTTAGGGTTCTGCAAAATCTTTTCAAAAGAGAAAGTTAGGCTGTGTGGAGATTATTTAGCAGCCTCAAAATATTAAAAGCAAAATACATAAATTAAAAATTACTCACTGTATAACAGACAGGCTGGAGGCCAGTATGTATGTTCCCCTTTACTTACAATAAAAATACAAGTGAGTGAGGTCATTATTATCACTATTATTTTTAGGACAGAGCATTATTGGTGTATTGGAAAAGAATCAAAGAAAAAAAGTGGAAATTCTAAGTAACCAGTTTAAAGTACTGGCTGAATATATTAGTGAGTGTCTGTTATGAGCCATACTGCTGTGTTTAAATATACAAACAAGAATAAGAGATATTTTCTAGCTTCAAAGCTTATATAGTTTAAGAGACCAGAAAGATGCGTTGATGACTATAATTTAACGCAATATCAACAATGGGAATACAGAGAAAGAGTGATTAATTTTCTTAGGGCAGGGACAGGATTTATTTTTTTAAATATATTTTTCTTTGACTTCTGAGAGGAAAAGAGAGGGAGAGAGAGATAGAAATATCACTGATGAGAGAGAATTACTAGTATTGATTGGTTGCCTCCTGAACGTCCCCTATTGGGAATCAAACCATGACCTCCTGGTTCATAGGTCAACAGTCAACCACTGGGCCACCCCACTTGGGCAAGGGACAGTATTTCTTAGTGATAAGAAAACAATATTGGAAATGTCTTTAGAGAAGAGGTGATAAACTATGTTTTATATGAAGTATTCTGACATATATATAATATATATGATATATACATGTATGTATATATATTTATGCCCCAAATTTTAAATAACTTCTCAATAATTCATTACTTTAAAAGATTGAAAATTATATGCATATATGAGAAAAAAGGTGACTATTTGAAAATAACTAATCTTCGTGTGTGTGCACAATTGTTCTTGAAACACAGATGTTACATCTGCATAATGCTTTAAAATTTTTCAGAGTTTAATATCTACAATAAACTCATCATTAAAAATATATAGTTTTAAAACTATGTTAACTTGTAAAGGGAGACCTTTAAATTTGCTTGCCCCATAAAGACAGAAGATTAAAAACATTTGTTCTTTGCTGCCTTTAGGAAGGTACAAATTGCCTTCCGGAAGGAAGAAGAACACAGGGATGATGGCATTTGGAGATGAAGGCATTTGGAAAGAGAACCAAGAAAACATAGCTACTATACCTTGGGAGCTGACGTCATACTTTTCAGCAGAGAGCGACTTAATATCAATGGTAACTTTTTGTAACATCTCAATGACTTGGACCTGTTGTGTAAAGTCATGCAGCATGGCGGTGCCGCAGCCCCTCAGGTAGGCCTCCAGGATCACAGCGAACCTCTGCTGGTAGTGCCGCGACTGGGCTATCTCACTTCTCAAGAACCAAAACAAAAAGTGGCCGATTCTTTTGTTCTGAGAGTGAGAACAAGATGGTTGAAATGATTGTGACGAATGCTCTAGGTCTACCAGCCAATTCCCACTGACTTTTAAAATGTCATGCTACTATCAAAGAAGTACTTACTCTTAAGCCACGCTTCAGCAGAAATCTGGCAAGGGCACTGTCATGGTAAGGTTCAAATTTCACAGCCTGAAGGAGGAACACATAGGCATTTATTTGTAGGGCTGCATTCTATGTTGGTTAATCAGAGAAAAGGAGATAGAGAAACACTGGTGCTCTGCCTTGGGGTGGGTTTTATGGGTAGGGTGATGTGACTCTTACCAGTCACTTAAGTTCAATCCTTTCTTTTCAAGGACACTTTTGGCCAAAGTGAATCACTTGCTTAAGGACCAGGAGTAGAAGCCAGAATTCCTGACTCACGGTCATGTGCTTTTGATAACGTCAAGGAAAGAGGGGATGGCTTTTGCTCCCATTCAGGGCTTACTTGATTGATTGGCAGGATAGAAGGGAAAGGTGGAAATGGCTATAACAAATCCGTAAAAGTGGAAGGTAAGTGAGGTTGTCGGAAAGAAAATAGACAGTGGAGATCTAGTACATATGAGGAGAAAAATATTTGTTACATGTGAAAATCCCAAAGATCTTTATCGCTGCTCTTCGGCTCAAGATGTGTGTCTGGCATCTCACTGGCAAGTCTGAGCTGGCTCACAGGTTCTTACTGCAAATAAATGCAGGCCCGGGCCAATCCATACCATATGATCACACTCCCTGACACACTGTGGTGTATATGAAGCTTTCTGTCCAAAAATCTCTTACTTTATAAGCTCCCCCAGGTTTTGTAGTGTTTAGTCGTTTTCACATCACTTGAATATAGAGATACTGACTTTGATGTTAGCTCTATGACTTAATAAAAAGAATCCAATAAAATGTGATAAATCCTAGTGGGTCATGATATCTGTTATATCATCCTCTGTACTTTTCTATAAATCTGCAGTAGTCCATGATTTTAAAAGTAGCCAGACTAACAAATATTGTTTATTGTATATGCATATATAAAGTTATAGAGTAGATATAATGCATAAACATGAAAAGGGGAGGCTTAAAATTAAATGTCTCCAAGTATTTTCTTTATAAATAGATATGGTCTATCATTTTTTCCAGACGAAACAGGAGAAATTCCTATTCCAATTTCACATCATAAAGGGCCTGGGACTTTTTAGTATGATTTCCACTTCTTCCTCTGATTTTCCAGTTTGGAAGTGATCAATACTGACTTGTTAATATTTCCATTATCCCCATACTTTCAAAGATCCTTTCCATGGGTATGGTCAAATAGGACCCATTGTAGCTCCAGTTGAGAGTGTGGTAATTTCGCCACAAGTACTCACTTCAGAAATGTCTTAATTTTCTAACGCTAATGTGAGTTTTTTCCAACCTGAATGCCTCAAATAATTTTACAAATGACTACTCTTCCCATTTACAACCACAAACTCAAAGCTAATATTACTTATTGACCTATCTCACGTAAACACTTCCAGGAAAACCATTCATTTTCTAATTCTTCAAAATTTACTTGTAGAAATGATAATGTAAAAGAATTCAAGGTGGCCTTGGGACTTAGAACACATTCATGCAAATTTGTTTTATGTTCTATTTGTTGTGGAGAGCTAGAAAGCTGAAGATACTTGGATTATTCTAAAACTTTCGTTAGTGACAGGTTAATATCTGCCCTCATGGCCAGAGAAAAATAGTGGAAAAATTTGATAGATGAAGGCAAAGGCCAAATATATTGTTTCAAGTATCTGCGTAATGAAAGGTGAATATTCAGAGTTAAAGTGCAGAGTATCCAAAATGCTCATCAGAAAACTCCAGGGCCTTCCTGTCCACACAGATAATAATTAGACAGTTTAGAGCCTAACACTTAACCTGGGAAATCTTAATGATCTCAGGTCACACATCACCTATTCAAAACTGTCTCTGGCTTCTTCCATCTAAATTAAGTTTCCCCAGGACCCCTAACTGTTTTCTCATAGTATTCTGTAGTTCCCCCCGAAAGCATTCACCACAATTTGTTATTAAATATCTGCTTGTATGTATACCATTTAATGTCAGTTTTTTCCATGCACCACAAGCTACATGAGGGCAGAGATGGGCTCACTGCTCTACATCCAGCATCCAGAACAGTGGAGGCGCTATGTACATGTTGTTGAATTAATGAATGGGCACTTCTGCACTCTAAAATAGAATTTCTATTCCAATTTCTTTACTTCCTTGCCCTTGTCAAGCAGCACGATCTAATTTGAGACTGGCTACAGTGAGCAGGAGAACTGCTCTCCTTTGTTTAACTTCCTAAGAAAACCTTAGGCAAATGATGTAGTCTCTCCTGACCCCAGGGAAAGGAATGAGAACAGGAGGGGAAACGCAGTGCCAGGCTTGTCTAAAGAGAGGGACTTTCAAAGTCCCATCCAGGTATGAGGTATGATCCATGAATTGTGATCATATTCATGATCAGAGAGTATGACCTTTTCTCTCTAGGACATACAATTCTGACACTGGACTGATGCAGCATATTGGGAGGCAATGAAAAGAGCAGGGCCTGGAGTCCTGGGTTTTAATTTCGGTCTTTGACCTTGGGCACGTTAGTTAGCCTCTCTCTGCCTCGATTTCCTTACAATCAAAATATTAACTTGACCTCCACCATAGTTATTGGGAGAGTTAAATGTGATAATACACAACAAGCATGTATATCACTTGGAGCCTGACAAAGGGGAGCAACCCCTACATTGAATTTATCATTAATACAATAAATGAGAACAAAGTATTCCCATAGGGCCAGTTTTCCTAAGAAGTGGAAATATTACCATCTTCAAAATGCTCGTCCAAAAACCCATAAAGACAATAAAAAAAATAAATAGAACAGTTTACTCCTTTCTGAGGTGGCTTCTTCAGATCTGCTTTGACGGATCATGATGCTCTGGACAAAGGGAACTGGATAATAACCGAATGGGGCGCCTGTGCAAATGCAAACCAATCCCTGGAGAAGAGGCTCCGTAAGTAACAGGGGCATCCCCTACCTGGACCAGCTGTAGCAGGTAATTCAGAACATCATCGTCCTCCAGGCTCTCCAGTTTCTGGACTGCAATGGCTCTCACATTTTCATCCGAAAAGTTACAGTCCAGGAGTTGCATGGTCAGCCCAACATCCAAAGCACTTTGATCCCAGACCTCCCTCCTGGCTAACAACTGGTATGTTTTGGCCACCATCTCCTGCTGTCCCCATTTCACCGAGCTAAACAGCTTAGGGTACGCTTTGGGATGCTTCAGGCTTTCATATCTGAAATGCCAGAGCAACTCTTTGTCTTCCGCTGTGAGAGGGTTGAGTGGATCGGTGGCTATGATCGCCTCCAGTTGCTTCCGAAGCTGGTTGGGCATTTCCGCTCGAACCCGGTCCCCTTCAGGGTCAGGGGTGGGCCGGTGCTTAGGCAAGGCTATCGGGTGGCAGTAATTGTCCAGAAGAATGCAGATGGACATTGAGCTGTCCTTGTCCGGGTTGGTGGCCGACGTGAGCTTGTCAGCATTGAAGCTCCCTTGGTCCTCTCCCTTGCCCGATATCTGCCACATGTGGAGCACGTACTCCCCGTGGCGCAGGAGGAACCGGTGGTCGATGAGCAGCAGGTTCACATAGTACAGAAGCTGAGCTTTGCCTCTGGCCTCGGGACTGGGCGTCTCGGCGGAGGCCTTGCCGGACAGCGCCGGCGCTT